GGGGAGAGAGAGAGAGAGAGAGAGAGAGAGAGAGAGAGAGAGAGAGAGAGAGAGAGAGAGAGAGCCATTGCGCATCCTGGGTGTCGATGGACTTGCATCGGGTCGCCCATCTCTCTCTCTCTTTCTCACTCTCTCTCTCTCTCTCTCTCTCTCTCTCTCTCTCGGGCCATTTGAAATATGAAAATGGGAATGAATCCTCCCGCTTTCACGGAAAGATTCATCCCCATGTTGCACTTTGGAATTCCTCTCTCTCTCTCTCTCTCTCTCCCTCTCTCTCTCTCTCTCACACACACACACACACACACACACACACACACACACACACATATACACACATATAATCTTGAAAGTTCTTCACACACACAGATACTCTTAAAAACCCATCAACCAAACCCGCCTTAATATATATAATAATTGAAAACAGTCATTATTTAATAGATAAGAATGCAAGAACTTCTACTTTTATCAATTATATATCTATTAGAAAAGTATTTAAATAATGAACAATTAAATAAGCAGTAACTAAATAGCTTATAAATACTCGTTATAAAGCAAACAAATAAATAAAAAATATAATAATAATTTAAAATTTTCATAATCTAAAAGTAAACCGTAAATTAATTAAAAAAAAAAAAATAAAAAAAATAAAAAAATAAAAAAAAAATAAATAAATAAAATAAAATAAAAAATAAAAAATAAAAACAAAGATAAAAATAAAAATAAAAACAAAAAAATTATAATTCTTTTGATTATTAATTAAAAAAAATTGAAAATAATAAAAGCATTAAAATAAATATTAAAAAAATAATAATATTAAATAAATAAAAAATAACAAATAAAAAATAAAAAATAAAAAATAAAAAATAAACACTAAATAATCAAATCAAACGCAATAATAAAAATAAGTTTCTACAAAACTTGTACAAAGACCACCTCGTTACAAGAAATATACCCAACGCAACCTTATATTCTTCCTACTTATTAAAGCTATACAAATACACAACTACATACATACCGTGGTGCAGTTATGGGTTCCTTAGAAAACTAGTGCTACAGAACAATAGAAGTACAAAGCATCTCTAACCTTTCTTCAAACACAATTCTTTGCATACATCACGACCTCGGCGTCATGCGGATCACATCTGTACCTTACACATACAACAAAAATTACCCCCGGGTAATATACTGCACAAACGACAAAATACAGAATGGTTACGTCTACAAAAACAAAATTAAAAAAAAACACGGTTGAAAACACCAAAGCAAAATTCCACAACCACGTACATAAAAAACAAAATACATGCAGCAGTAAGGAACAGTCACTCGCCACATCTCGGCTTCAACGAGGCTACTCCAGGAAACCGAGTTCACAAAGACAAAAGTGAAAGAGAACTTTTCAAAGAAAACAAAGACCCATTGACAAACGCTGCACAACATCACATGACGACAAGCAAGTAGCACGCGGAACTCTTCTTCTGCTGCAAAAAACAGAACCTAAACGGGCGAAGCACGTATTACATACAGCAACACCATTTTTTTTAAAAAAAGAAGAAAAGCACACACCCCCCAAAAAACATTAACCACACCCATCTGCACCTAAAACAAAGACCTTTTGGCACCCATCACACGAAGCAATACTGCTTCCCACCAAGCCTTAACACGTAATTATCTCCCTACCCCCTCTCGGTACTTCGCACCACCACAATAACACCATACAGCTATAATCCGCAGCCTTGCAACCTGCATAAAAATAGCCCTGCTCTACAGCAACTACACACTTCTACAACGCCGCACAGCAAGCGCTCAACATCCATGCTCCACGCAGCAGATCATAGCCTTCGCCTCTACGCACGCACCCCCTGGCCTCAAACTTCTGATTTCTGAGCATCTGCTCGTACAGACTAGCGGACACACGATAGCTGAGCGAGAACTGACTCTAACACTCGCTCTACTATCACAAACACTGGTACAAGGTAGCTGTACTAAGGAGACAGCGGCAAGCACAAGTCATGGCTACCGCGGTGGATGCTTCAACCTCTCAAGTCTTCCAGCTATAGGTAAACCTCCTTACACCTAAACGTCCGTGCTGTCCTATGAATGCATTTAACATTGTACTAATTGGAGACTAATGACTAAACCCTCTGATGAGCTGCTATGGTGCTAAGCGGCGAAAAGCGCGCTTCAGGGCGTGCACCACCCTATGACTGTTTTTATACAGTCATCATTAACACAGGCCTGAACTTAATTCTGCTCCCCAGGCCTTTTAACGATCTAAATGGCATTCACCACTAACCCATTTGACACCCTCGTCTTACGTTTATGTATGTATGGTGCTAACAATGTTGCATTGTATCGACTCTTGCATATGCTTGTTTTCCATAAATTAAGGAATAGCCGTGCAATATGCACACCCACTACGACACGCACGCACGCGCTCGCTCTCTCCCGCACGTGCGCATTCTTAGAGAACCGCCGTTTCCTACAAATTGAACGGCGCACATACACGAGAGAGAGAGAGACGGGATCTCTCTCTCTCTCTCTCTCTCTCTCTCTCTCTCTCTCTCTCTCTCTCTCTCTCTCTCTCTCTCTCTCTCTCTCTCTCTCTCTCTCT